ATATTACGAAAACACGTGGAGCTAATATTACATGAAAATTATAAAGGTAATATTCTAAAGGAAATGTTTCGCAAATATTTCAGATGTCTGCCAAATATTGACAAGATGTACGATATTCATTAAATATATAGAAAATATAGGACAAACATTTTGTGCTACTAGGGTAGTTTCGAAGAATTTCTACGTATACTACTACCCTACGAAGAAGTTCCTAAGGATTTCCGGCTAATTTCATGCGATTCCCTGCATGATTTCATGATTAGATAATTCATGAGGATAATGGAGATTTCATGAATGGATAACCCCTCGCCTGAGATATGAAAATTGATGAAATAGACGTCTGCACAGTTGTGGGGGAAGAATCTCCCTGTGTCGTGTCTTCGCGATTGTCAGGAATGAATCAGCTCCTCCACCCTCTTGGAAGAAAATTTTCCAGGCACGTCCCTGAAGGTTTGAGGGTAGTTGGGGGGATCAGTCCCCGGGGGGGCGGCGGGACTTATATCGAAAAACAATGCTTCGGCGGTTTCGCCGAGGAGTCGCGAAGGAGGCTTCGCGGGGGTTCCCCTGGGAAGTGGGCCCCGGGGGGTGGAAGAGGGGCCCGGGGGGTGGTTCGCACGATTTTGAGGCCCGACGTCGCAACGACCCCCTCCGTGCGTGGGAATCGGGCCCCGCGAAGAAAACCAGGAACGAAGCGACCCCCCGTGAACCCCCAGTCTCCTGGGGGAAGCAACCCCCGACAAGGTCTCGACCGATTTCGCTTTCCTTCCCAAGATCTAAAACACTCAAATTATTCTGAAGTTTCCCTAAACTTTGGAGATTACTTTAACCCATTGAACATGGAGCCATTTCGACATACGGGCGAAATTCGTCTGACCGTGCAGGCAATATTGGACCAAAAGTCGGGCGCCTTTAGCCTTCGTCGGGCCTTAATTTTTTTCTTTAATTGAGAAAATGATATTTTTCATTTCTCGTAATGAGAAAGCATTTCCAGGTGGATTGGTTAAAAAATATTATTTTCTCGTGGGTGAAACTGCCAAATCGCCCCTTGCCATGCCTTACTTTGGATGGTGGTTTCACCCCCTTAAAGTGTTTAATGCCACATGAAAAAAAAATACGTGTCGCTTAGTTTTTAGTCTACTATAACATATTATAAAAGAAATCAAATCAGAGAGATCGACCTGGGATACCTTCCGTGTAGTAGCCAAAGGGTTAAAATGGAGAATTTCCTCGAACTATGGAAATGGAGGGAGGAAGATCTTGTAGAGAAATTCTGGTCTGAGGTATTTCACCCCCTCGAAAGGACACCCTCGGAACAAGGAAGAGGACCCGGAAAAATCCTATTCGCGGATATATACATATATACGTATGTATAACATTTTATATATATATATGGATCCGAGGAAGGGGGCTCCCATTTTACCCCCGATAAAGGGATAAAGAGGGAAGATTTAATTTCCCTAAAACGGGATCGATCCCATCTGGCGTCGATGCGGGCAGACATGCATACATATATACTTATATATACACATATCCATATCTATATATGAAAAGAGAAAGGGAGAGAGAAAAAGGGGGAGAAGATTGGACGGCTTTCCTATCGGCCGAATCCTTCTTTTTTCTCAACCCCCGACCGGAGCGCGGGGGCGAAAAATAGCCGGCCGGGTGGCAGAGGCAACTTCCGGAAAAATTAATATCCTAAGGGTAGCCCTGGGAGGGGTTGAGGGGGGAGGGGGGGTGCACCGGCTGGGCAGGCCGAAGTACGACCACCACGTCGTGGGGGGTTCGGATATCCGGAAGATTTGCGACGGATGATTTCCCCTCGTGCCCCACCTAGAACCCCCAAAAACTTACTAGGGGGAGAGTCGGAATCTTGAAATTTTGGAAATTAGGGATTAACAACAAGTTAGAAGGTAAATGCTCTCTGTCGATTGTGGAAGTTGAATCTTAACACTTTCGCTCCCAGCGCCGCAAATGTGCGTCGTTTCAGTTCTTCTCTGGGAGTCCCGGCGCGAGGTGCATCATGGGCTGGAAAATTTCATGGGCTGTGGTACAAGATTTTTTTCTCAAGCGCTGGTAGCGTACGTGATAAGGTGAAGTGAAACCCCCTTCAAATCAGTCGATTCGAATACAGCACTTTTTTTAAGGGTATTAGACCAAACTGGTATTAGACCCCAAAGGGTATTAGACACACTGTGGTACAAGATTTTCTTCTCAAGCGCTGGTAGCGAACGTGATAAGGTGAAGTGAAACCCCCTTCAAATCAGTCGATTCGAATACAACACTTTTTTTAAGGGTATTAGACCAAACTGGTATTAGACCCCAAAGGGTATTAGACACACTGTGGTACAAGATTTTCTTCTTACGCGCTCGTAGCGAACGTGATAAGGTGAAGTGAAACCCCCTTCAAATCAGTCGATTCGAATACAGCACTTTTTTTTAAGGGTATTGGACCAAACTGTCCGAAATTTTGACACACGACTCGTGATCATCTAAGAATTGTCCTGACAACATTCAAGATTTTGATTTTGGGGAAAAACATTTTAACTTTGCCCAGACCAGAACCAAAATGGCGTCGAGCTCTCATATTTCGATCGATGTACAATTATCGAAGGCTCTGATATGAGAATCGAAAGGGTCAGGACAATTCTACGACAATTTAGAACACTCTGGTAATCGATAAACTCGCATTTGAACGGGATAAAGGCGAAAAAAGTGTTTTATGCGCTTCTATGCTAAAACGATGGGAATACGAGGTCTCGGAGGGAAAATTTAATTGACCTGGAAATCACAGATGGCGCAGGGGGTCCCTCTGCAGTCAATTAGGGCCTCAGAAAGCACGAATCCAGAGGATTTCTGGAGTTTCACTTCGATTTCTTTATAATTATTGTACGAAAACGACAGGTGGAGTATGCCGTTTAGTACAATACCCAATCTAATTCGACCCATCTGTCGATATAAAAACGAACGTCGTCAACGTAGGCATTTAGAAAAATCTTCTTTATCGACGTCGATCAAGTTCCTCGACGTGTTTCACTTCGCCTTAAGGGGGGAATGGCTGATAAGGAGGAGTTTACCATCCACGGGGAGGGATGACGGTAAAATTCCTGAGGGGGAGGGGGAAGATTCAGGGTGGTCGAGCCGGATCGGAGACTGAGAAACTTTGTTTTCGAAAGCGGTTCCATGGTTCCACCCCCTGCCCCGTGGGGGTTGTTCGGGCCGGCGGCGAAGAAAGGGCCGGGGGTGCGGAAAGCCGGGCCAAGTTCGAGACGTTTGAAGAGCCGAACTTTGACGATGGCTCGGAGGGATGGGGGGGTTCATCCCCCGGGTTAGTGCCGGGCCGAAAGTGGCCGGGAACCTGGATTTAATTGGACCCCTTCGTCCCAGGGATCGATCGGGCGATTCGCTCCTCGTGGCCGCCCTACTTGTTGAACTGACCTCCCCCGTGTCCGAGTTACCCCGGGGGGCGACTCACCCCGATCGCCGGAACCCCCGAGTTCGGTCAAGATTTTCGCTCCTCTCTTATCCCCCTTTCTCCTCCCAACCCCCCTTGGTGATTCGATCCCGCTACCACCCTCCCAAGAAGGGCACCAGCCACTTTCGCGCCCGGGAAACCAGGACTCGCGAGTCGGGATCGGAATTCGGCGGGATTTCGGAAGGGTGGAGGGGAAGGGTGGAACTTATGAAACGCCCCCGCGAGCGGGGCAAGATATTAAATTTCTGGAATTTTGCGGTAAGGCGCGTCTACGTGCCAACCCCCTTAGACTCCCCCGCCACTCCGGGGTCCGCTGGGGCGCGTCGAGGCGCGTCCCCCTTATCGGCGTGCTACCCATCGTATCCTTACACCTGATAACCCGATAACACCCCCTGAAGATCTGCGAAAGCAAAGAACTCGGTTGTCGGAGATATCGGACGTCGAATGTACTGTCATTGCCCTTGCCGGCTACACATCTTGGGCGGAACGTGGGGTTCCGAGTATTTCTTATTATTTCGCATTATTTCTCATAATTTCTCATTATTTCTTAGTAATTCTGTTTTTCCGAATATTTCGTAGTAGCCAAGACCTCTTTATTTTCCACCTTCTGCATTTCGGAAGCTCAGAGAGTACAGGAGGTGCGTAAAGCTGGCACCCCCACCTTTACAAAATTCAAATTTCTTTGTCTTAACATTTTGTGCTCTTTATGTGCTAATTATGTGCTATGTTCGCAAATTTTGGGTACAGGGGCACACGCGAATGCGTTCTCTGCTGATAAGGCGATCAGTCCACGATGGGGAAGCGTTTATGTCCGTCAGGGTACCTTGTCTCCCTAAGTGCCTGGTAGTTGGCCGCATAGATAGTGTAGGACGAACTGAGAGGCTTGCCCAGCAGGGGGATCACTGCTGGGAGTGCCTCATACCTGTACCGCATTTACGGCGTCGAGCCCAGTTACCGCTGGTTCAGCATTGCAGCTTGAGTCTGGATCCTCAGTTTTCCCCCGTCCTGGCCCTACCGAGGACCCACGATGTCCCTTTTCGTCGTACTATCTCCCCATCGCATCCTTATACCCCAATAACCCCGAGGACCCACGACGGCAAGGAATAACACAATTCTGGGAGACATTGGACGTCGAATTTATTGCCATTGCCCTTGCGAGCTGTACAGGGATTTGGGACGTGGAGTCCGAGTAGTTTTCGGTATTCCTCGGCATTTCTTATTACTTCTTATCATTTCTGTGTTCTTCTGAGGATCGCCTGGTCCTAGACAAGACCTCCTCGTTCCCCATCTTCTGCAGTTCAGAAGGTCAAAAGGTACCTAGCCTCGCTAGGCGCCTGGTAGTTTGCGGTGTAGGTTGTGTAGGAAGAGCTGAGAGCCGAGCCTGGCAAGGGAACCACCGCTGAGGGCGCCTCGTACGTGTACTGCACCTGCTGAGCCGGGCCCTGTTCCCCCTGGCTCAGCTTCGCAGCCTGAGCCTGGATCCTCAGCTTCTCAGGAGCCTGGCCCTGCTGGGGACCCGCGGTCACCTCGAGCTTGCTCGGGGCGAACTGCAGCCTCTGCAGGGGGGCGTAGGCGTAGATCGGGCCCCTCAGGGGCTCCACATTTTCCGCGCGAATTCTGGCGAACACCTTCATGGCCTCCAGGTCGTGTCGGCTGGCGTAGCGGACGCGTTGGAGCCGACCATCGGGAAGAGCCACGTAGTACTCCCCGTTGACTTTCTGCTGGCCCTCTTCTTCAGGGGTCTCTTCGAGCTCGTTGACGGAATCCACCGGCTCGGCCTGAAAGATCGACACGTGTTAGAGTGAAGAACCTCGCCGTGAAAGAGATCAAGGGGGTAAATGCGCTTCCTAGGACGCGATAGAACCCCTTCTTCGAGAACGCAGCGACCTCGTCAAGGCCAAGCTGGGGGCTTTCGGTTTCCTCCCGGTTCGGGGATTACGACAAATTTAACGAGGCCGTTGCGTCACGGGGTTCTTTCGGAGTCCGGGCTCGCGTCTCGATCGAAAGTAAACGACGCCTTGAATACGAAACGAGGTACCGGAGCCCGGGTCCCCACCTCCTGGGGATCTTCGAGGAGGTCCGTGCCAAGTGACGTCTTCGTTTACCTGGATGGTAACTTGGAGGTCCTAACCCTGTCCAAAGAAAGGTGTCAGACGTGGAAGAACGGAGCGTTACAAAAGTGGACCAGCCCTAGGATAAAAGGACTCAAATTCTGGCGAACTGATCCAAGATCAGAATAGAGCGAGGTACATCCTGATGCGCTGGTCTAGATTCTCTACAAAATCATGGACGTCCCGATACCGACGTTCCAGAATCCCTACAAAAGGACTGACATCCTAAGAAGCTGGACCAAAATCTGTATCATTCGATATAAAATTCTTGACGTCCCGATAAGCTGTTCCAGAATCCCTATAAAAGGACTAACATCCTAATAAGCTGGACCTAAATCTACATAATTGTCAATAAAATTATTGACGTCCAGATAAGCTGTTCCAGTATCCCTAAAAAAGGACTGACGTCCTAATAAGCTGGACCAAAATCTATATAATTCTCTATAAAATGATTGACGTCTCGATAAGCTATTCCAGAATCCCTATAAAAGGACTGACATCCTAATGAGCCGGGCCAAAATCACTGTAAAGTGACTTGCGTCTTGATAAGTTGTCTTGATAAGTCTATTGTACATTCGCTATGAAATCATAAACGTCCCGATAAGCTGCTCCCAAATCACTAGCAGAAGACTTACATCTTGGTGAACTGGCCAAAGATCACTATAAAGTACCTGACGTCCCCCAGCAGACCCTGAAGCCTCCATTACACCAGAACCCGTGAACCCCATTCTCAGTACTCACATCGGACTCGGTCGTTGCTACCGTGGTGGTGGACTCATCGAATTCGGTGGTGTTGGGCTGGTCGGTAGTGAAAGTCGCAGCGGCACCATACTGCTGCTGAGGAGCAGAGGCGGCTCCGAACTGTTGTTGGGAGGCACGGAACTTGCTGGGTGCCCCGTACTGCTGCTGAGGTGCAGCAGGTCCTCCATACTGCTGCTGAGGTGCAGCAGGTCCTACATACTGTCGCTGAGGAGCCGCGGGTGCTCCATATTGGTTCTGAGGAGCCGTAGGAGCTCCGTATTGGTTCTGAGGAGCCGTAGGTGCTCCATATTGGTTCTGAGGAGCCGTAGGTGCTCCGTATTGATTTTGGGGGGCAGCGGGTGCTCCATATTTCTGCTGAGGTGCAGCAGGTGGGCTATATTGGTTCTGGGGCGCAGCAGGTGCACCGTATTGGTTCTGGGGAGCCGAAGGTGTCCCGTACTGTTGCTGAGGAGCAGCGTCAGGTGCGCCGTACTGTTTCTGGGGTGAATCGGGTGCTCCGTATTGCTGCTGGACTGCATCTGGAGTCCCGTATTCCTGCTGCCCTGCATCAGGAGCGCCATATTGCTGCTGCAACTGTCTTTCAGGCAGGTCGAAGGATGGTCCTTCGGGACGCCAACCCGATGCTGGGTAAGGGGCGTCTTGCTGCTGTCGAGCGAAGTAGTATTGCCTGCCTTGCTGATTTTGGTTCTGGGCCTGAGAGTTGAATCTATACCTCGGCGGCTCCGCCATGGCCGAGGCCAGGAGCAAGGTGAATCCCAGAAATATTCCCTGTTTCGCGAGAAAAAAAAAATGGAAAATGATGAGCTTTTTAATACCTCCGAAAGCAATGGCGATGTCGGCGAAAAAGCTAACAAGGACCCCGGTGCCTAGTAAATTTGTAACGCCTAAACAGCGAGGATAAGTACTCTAAATTTTGTAAGAAATAAACAGATTGGTATCTCACGGGAACGAATGAAAAAGATTGCAAATACTTTTAATAAAAAAAAAATGAAATTATGGCACCGTTCTCAACCGTAGGGAGTAAACTCGTAAATATCTTATTTTCTTCGTTTTAACACGGGGTTGCGATTTTAATGAACTGTAGGGAGATTTTTATTTAGGCGGGGGATTTATGCGGGGCAATTTGAGGTTAGCTCGAGGTGGCGGGGCTTGCGTCGATGAAATTTGAATTTTCGAGTTAGCGCAAAAGTTGGAGCTAAGGGTGGAAGTCTCGATACGGGAGACGGAGATCCGCCCGACCGGGACGGAAGTCGGGCCGCGGCGAGAACCGGGCGTAAACCGCAAGTACGCGCTCTTAACTACCTTCATGTCGTGCACACGAGTGGTTAGCCAGTTGTTTTCAAGCGACTGATTTCTGCGGACCGACCGCGCCGATTATATACGGTTTGTTTGGCGCATGGCTGGCATCGCTAAGAGACCCAGGGGCGGGCGGCGCGCATCCGATGACATTGGCCCTCTTAGGATCCGGGTAAAGCGCGAGTCCGCGCCACCTCGACACTTCGCTGACTCACCTCCGCCCAGTTTCGCCGATTACCTTCGTTCCATCCTTCGCGAGAGCATCCTCTCGCAGGAGAGAATCCTCCGCGGTGCGGTTTTCCTCGAAATGACGCGTCTAAGCCGCCGAAAAACGGAAAAATCGACGCCGCCGATGGCGACCGCGCCGCGCCGTCGCGGAGTGCCGCCATCTTGCGGGACCAAGGGCAAGCGGTCGGACGAGATGGAACTAGGAATCGCGGAGGAATGCCGGGATTTCGGGATTCCACCTTTCGAGACAATAAACTACGAGCCCGCGGCCAATCCGCATCGTCAGTCCGCGCACGCGTCATCCTTCGTGCGTGCGTCGATTCGTGTCAATAAATTCAGGTGTGCTCAATCCGAGCAGCATCCGCGAGGCGAGGGGGGCGCTACTCTCTCATACATGGGACCCCATCAGGGCCAGGCATAAGTGCACGGAATTTATGATGGGTCTCGCGTGATACGCGCGATGCGTGAGAGTATTATGCACGGCCCCCTTGGATGGCGCACGTAAGGAGACTGCGTAATGGCGAGTCCCAAAAACTGCGATTACGTCTCGCGCCGTAATCGTCGCTTCGTCGCCGTTCCATTTGTTTCACAACGCGGCGTTGCTCTTCATCGAATTTCGAAGTCGAAGGGAGGGGAGGGCGGGTTTTTCCGTGATTTTCGAAAATCGAGCGTGGAACGAGCGTCCCGAGCTGTTTTCGGGTATTTCAAGACTCCGGGGTCGGTCCCTCCGGCGGAATGGAGATTTTCCCCCCCGGTGTCTGCAGGCGGCCGAAAAGCCGCCGCTCGGCCGCAATTTAACGGAAAATCGGCGGGGAAAGTCTCCCGATCCTCTCGCGCGGCAGCGCCCGAAACGCGGTCCCTCGTCTCTCTCTCTCTCTCTCTCTCTCTCCCTCTCTCTTCCCCTCTTTCTCTCTCCCGGCAAAGCAAATTATTCACACTCAAACGACTCCATTTCAATATCGGGCCGAGCCAGGGACAAAAGAAGGGCGAGATGCCTGTCTCCCTTCTGCTCTCGCTCTCGCCGCGCTCTGTCGGCGCTGCCAGTGCTGCGAATTTTGCCGGTGCTGCCAGCGTTGCCAGTGTTTGTCGGTGCTGCACGTATTGACGGTATAGCAGTGCCATTTATTCTGCAATGTTGCAATATTACGGCGCTGTTCGTTTTGCAATGTCGCAATGTTTTAGTGCTGTCGATTTTACAGTGGTGCAATGTTACAATGCTATTAATTCTGCAGTGTTGCAATGTTTTTGTGCTGTTAATTCTGCAACATTGCAATGTTTTTGTGCTGTTAATTCTGCAACATTGCAATGTTGCAGTGTTTTTATGCTGTCAATTCTACAGTGTTGCAATGTTGCAGTACTGTTGCAATGTTTTTGTGCTGTTAATTCTGCAACATTGCAATGTTTTTGTGCTGTTAATTCTGCAACATTGCAATGTTGCAGTGTTTTTATGCTGTCAATTCTACAGTGTTGCAATGTTGCAGTACTGTTAATTCTGCAGAATTGCAATGTTGCAGTGCTGTTAAATCTGCAGTGTTGCAATGTAGCAGTGCTGTTAAATCTGCACTGTTGCGATGTTGCAGTGTCATTCATTCTGCAACACTGCAATGTTGCAGTGCTGTTGATTCTGCAGTGTTGCAATGTTGCAGTGCTGTTGATTCTGCAGTGTTGCAATGTTTTTGTGCTGTTAATTCTGCAGCATTGCAATGTTGCAGTGTTTTAGTGCTGGCAATTCTACAGTGTTGCAATGTTGCAGTGTCATTCATTCTGCAACATTGCAATGTTGCAGTGCTATTAATTCTGCAATCTGCAATGGTACAGTGCTGTTAATTATGCAATACTCCAATGCTGCAGTGCTGGTGATTCTACAATGGTACAACATTGTTAACTGTGCAGTGTTGCAATGGTGCAGTGCTGTTAATTCTGCAATACTCCAACGTTGCAGTGCTATTGATCTGCAATGTCGCAATGTTGCAATGTTGCAGTGCTGCAAGTGCAGCAAGGTAGTTGGTGCCGGTAATACTGCAGTGCTGAGGTGTTATTAATGCAACAGTGCTGTCGTACCATTTATGCTACAGTGTAGCAGATGCGCAACCCTAGTAGTATCACTAATGCTACACTGCTGCATTTTACTATCAAAGCAGTAATACATCCGTGTTGCCCTGTTGTAGTGGTACATTACTCCGGTGTTATACCTGCTGAAATGTTGCAATTCGGCAGGGCAACAAGTTCCATTATTGCAACTCCGCAATGCAGCAGTGTTATTAACGTTGCACTACTACCGTTTTATGGGTACTGGTAATGCTGCACTGCTGCAGAGTTGTCACTACTGTAATGCAACAATTTTGCAATGTTACAATTCCACGTTGCAGTAATGTTGCTAATGCAGTCCCTGTGGAACTATCGACACCCTAGTACAGGGTTGCTCATGGTGCAATTCTCCCAAGATCGTTAATGTTGCGCAGTTGTAATGCTGCGGTGCTATCGGTACTGTCAATGCTGCAGGGCTACCAGTGCCGACCGTACAACGGTGCTGCATTGCTGTCAGCGCTATGTCAACGTTTGCAACACTATCGAAATCGACGGCACAACCAAGGAGACAGAGGCGCCCAGGACGGAAGGGTTTTCGCGCAAATCCGGGCGACGAGATGCCGGACTCAACGTTCACAGGAGGTTCGAGCCCCGTAATCGAATATATTTAAGCGCGAAGGGCGGTTGTGCGGATTCTCGGCTTACGAGGAACCCCACGAAGAGTAGCGTCTGCGAGTAAACTGGATTAATCGTCTATGAAGGGAGGCGGACCCTCCCCGGCGGCCGCGTATTCGTTTGCAATCAGATCCCTCCTGGAATCCTCTCGCCGTCGCCGCAGCCCCGTTAAGAACCGCTTCCAGGAGAAATCCTGGGAAGAGAAAAGCGGGAGAAAAAGAAAATCCACGAAACTCCCTTCCTCGATAAGGACGACCTCGTTCCTCGAGCAAGAGACGATCCTCCTTCTCCCCTTTCCTTTCATGATTCCTCCTCACAACCCTTTCGCAACCTCCACGGGATCCTTCTCGATCGATCGTCGAGACTCTCGTCGAGGTAGATCCCCGTCAGATGGACAAGTGAAATTACAAGACCGTAAAGGGTTTTCGCAATGCTTATTTATTGCCTCGATGACACGCCGGGCTTATGTATGTACATGTGGTATCAATTTATACGTACAGAAGTATTTATAGACAAGTTATACGTACCGTGGCCGCGGGGACAATGCCGAGGCCGGCGCGATCCCGGGAAGAGTGACTCGCCGCAGCGCTGGTGTCGCAAGCGGCGACCCACTGTACTACGGCCGCGCGCGGCCTACGTGTCCGGCCTCGGTAAAGAGGGCCGCGGCCGCGCCGCTTTTTCGCTTATTAGCGGCCCCGCCGAAACAAGGGGCAGGCCCGCTCCCCTCGGCCCCCGGGACCGCTTCTAAACTGTTTGGCAACCAGTTGCGTGCCCCCTGGAGACTCGTTGCGAGACCCGCCGACGAATTAGAGTCGCGTCCCCTCGTGCATAATGGATACAAATTACCGCGTAAACAGCGCCGGTTGCCCCGAACGGGGGGAAATGCCTCCTTTAAACGATGTTTTTCCATTTTCGATATTCGGGATGCGATCAACGAAGAGGAATTTAAGTACAACGTATAGACCCCGCAAATCTGGCATTGCCTTTAATATTTTTGAAGAGGCAACGAATATTAGTAAGGAAAGACAAAGGGCGTATTTTCTCTACACGTAGAAGAAAATTTAGTTCGTTTAAACAAAATAGTCCGATTGACTGCATTTTGTTCATTTAACAAAATTTCTTGCTTGAGCAAACCGAATTTTAGTTCACTTCATTAAACTCATTTGTTTGAATCCATTAAAATGTTTTGGATAAGTCAATTAAATCTGCTTGTTAATCTTATGAAATATTTTAGTCTACGAAAGTCCTAGCGCTCTCACAAGTGAAGTTATGATATTTTGTTAGTACATTGCTCATATCGTGAGCAAAGTCGCGACAAGAAATGCTGTGGTAACACATTTTTAACGAAACAAAGTTCCTCCTTTACCGGGAAAACTTGTATAAAAGGAACATTTTTTTCAAGAATATGCAGAGTGATTAAAATGGTTTGGGGGTACCGAATCATTTTAATATTTCATGTGATCAACCAAATATATGGTTATCCATATTTTACCGTATTTTATAATGGAACCAAGAAATATTGTATGGATTCAAGGAAATATTTTTCTGCGGGCATCTTGTAATAGCGATCTATTTGGTAACAGGCTATCGCCATATTGCATTGCACGTTTCGTGTAAACGGAGAAACAGCGAGAAAACAGCCCCTCTATTCCTTCTCTTTTGTTTCCGTCGTTTTCATGGTCGGATTAGCCCGTAAGGTCCATATACCCTGCGCGTCCATGAATTTGACACGACATCTTTTTCCTCCTTTGCAACAATAATTAACCCTAGAATTCTCGACGGATTTATTTTAGCCGTGGTGGACTGTCTCAAACCAGTCATTCTGCCTAGTCTTGGAACCTCTAGGGTATTAGGAAAGAGAACAACCCATCTGTTCCCTCTCTGTCGCTTCTACATCAGTCTTCATGGTCGAATTACCTCGCGGGGTCCATATAACCCCTGTGCGTCCATGAATTTGACGCGACTTCTTTTTCCTTCTTCGCAACAATTTGGCAGTAGCAGGCTGTCTAAAACCAGTCATCTTGACTAGTCTTGGAACTTCTAGGGTTAAAAGAAAACAACATCTCCTGCTTCCTCTCTGTCGCTTCTACATTAGTCTTC